ATGGGATAAAATTTCATGGAATTGTATATACACATGCACTACCTGTAAATATGATAAATAGTGAGCTTTCTGTATCCCCAGGTCTCACATCTGCAAATTCAACCAACCACAGATGGAAAATATTGGATGGGGCGAGACAATTTAAAAATAACAATACAGGCTGAGCACAGTGGCTCACGCCTATAATCCCAGCACTTTGGGAGGCCAAGGCAAGAGGGGATCGCCTGAGCCCGGGAGTTAGAGACCAGCCTGGGCAACATAGCAAAACCTGGTCTTTACAAATAATATTTTAAAAAAACAGCTGGGTGCAGTGGCATGTGTCTGTGGTCCAGCTGCTTGGGAGGCTGAGGTGGGAGGATTGCTTAAGCATGGAAGGTCAAGGCTGTTGTGAGCTATGCACTCCAGGCTGGGTGACGCAAATAAGTGGTTGCCAAGAGCTAGAGCTGGAGGAGAGAATGACGTTAAGGGACAGCATGAGAGCGATTTTGGTGGTGATGGAACAGCTCTGTACCCTATGTTACATAAACGTATACATGGGATAAAATGTCATGGAATTGTATATACACATGCACTACCTGTAAATATGATATATAGTGAGCTTTCTGTATCCCCAGCTCTCACATCGGCAAATTCAACCAACCACAGATGATGGAAAATATTGGATGGGGAGAGACAATTTGAAAATAGTAATACAGGCCAGGCACAGTGGCTCACGCCTGTAATCTCAGCACTTTGTGAGGCCAAGGCGGGCGGATCACTTAAGCCTGGGAGTATGAGACCAGCCTAGACAACGTGGCGAATAACTGTCTCTATTGAAAATACAAAAATTAGCCAGGCATGGTGGCACCTATAATTCTAGCTACTCAGGGGGCTGAGGCAGGAGGATCACCTGAACCATGGGAGGTTAAGGTGGTAGTGAGCTGTGATGGCACCAGTATACTGCAGCCTGAATAGTGAGAGCCTGTCTCAAAAAAAAACCACACAACAATACAATGAAAAATAATATACATTTAAAATGCAGTAGGATGACTATTTGCATAGCATTCACATTTGTATTAGTTATTAGAAATAATCCAGAGATAATTTAAAGTACATGGGAGGATGTGCACAAGTCATATGCTCATACCAATTTATATAAAGGGCTTGAGCATTCTGGGATTTTGGTGGAGGAGGACAGCTGTGAAACCAATCCTTGAGGATATTGAGAATTGACTGTAATTTGAATAAAATCTTTAGTTAATAGTATTGTGCATATGTCAATTTCCTGGTTTTCCTTATTATACTAGGGTTACGTAAGATGTTGTTGGGAAAATATAATTTAAAACAAAAATTCCTGCCACTCCAAAAACCTCTCCACAAAAGTAGAAGAAAAACAATTTTATTATTTGAAAACTCATCAATCCAGAATGTGACATGCATTGCAGGCAATCTGCTGAAGAGATTGCAAAGACAGAACTCTAACCCTTACTGCTGGGAGGCAGAGGTTGCAGTGAGCCAAGATTGAGCCACTGCACTCCAGCTTGGGTGACAGAGTAAGACTCTGCCTCAAAATTAAATTAAATTAAATACCCTCACCCCTTTATATAACCAGGCAGATGCAACCCATGTCATACATGTTTTCAAGATAAACAACTAGTCCTCAAGATGACCTGACAGCATCACTTGTCACCTGAGAATCAGGGTAGCCACCTGTGTTTGTTAATTGTCTTTATCCAAAGGAAAATTGAATTTCTTATGTCTTTATGGTAGGTCTGTAACTTAACAAGTGCCAGGTAAAGTTAGGTTCCTACCCTTCCATGGGACTAGGAAATAGGAATGCTATTACAGGCGTGAGCCACCGTGCCAGGCCTAAATCATACTTTTTAAAAAGAATAAATTATTGATATATTCAACAAGGTAGATGAATCTACCTTGGAATTGACCGATTCCAGTCGGCAGTAAAATGTAAGAATACGCTATAAAACAGTGATCCTCAAATTGTGCTCACAGGCCAGCAGCATCAGCCTCAACCTGGGAATTTGTTAGAAATGCTAACTCTTAGGCCTCAGCCTGATCTGCTGAATCACAAATTTTGGGACTGGGGCCGGGTGTGGTGGGTGTGGTGGCTTATGCCTGTAATCCCAGCACTTTGGAAGGCTGACATGGGCAGATCACCTGAGGTCAGAGTTCAAGATCAGGCTGGCCAACATGGTGAAACCCCACATCCACTAAAAATACAAAATTAGCCAGGCATCGCAGCACAAGACTGTAGTCCCAGCTACTCAGGAGGCTGAGGCAGAAGAATCACTTGAACCCAGGATGCAGAGGTTGCAGTGAGTTGAGATCGTGCCATTGCACTCTGGCCTGGGTGCAAGAGCAAAACTCCATCTCAAAAATAATTAATTAATTAATTAATTAAACATCAGGATCAGGGCCCAACAATCCATGTTTAATAAGCCCTCCAAGGTGATTCTGATGCTCACACTCAAAGAGAAAGCCATGTATGGGAAGCCATCTGAAGACTCAGGAAAATGAGGACATTGGAATGGATTACAACTGTCCCTGGGTATCTGAGAAAAATTGGTTCCGGGGCCAGGTGCGGTGGCACAGGCCTGTAATCCCAGAACTTTGGGAGGCCAAGGTGAGTGGTTCATTTGAACTCAGGAGTTCAAAACCAGCCTGGGCAACATGGCGAAACTCAGTATCTACAAAAAATATAAATACTATCCAGGCATGGTGGTATGCACCTGTAGTCCCAGCTACTCGGGAGGCTGAGGCGAGAGGATCCCCTTGAGCCCGGGAGGTCATAGCTGCAGTGAGCTGAGATTGCACCACTGTACTCCAGCCTGGGTGACAAAGCCAGACTTTGTCTCAAAAAATAATAAAATAAAACGGCATAGTATTTGCACATAACATAGCACTATCCTTCTATATACTTTAAATCATCTCTAGGTTACTCATAATACCTAATACAATATGAATGCTATGTAAACAGTTGTTATATTGTATTTTTTATTTGTATTAGCTATAGTTGCATTTTTTTGTTTTATTTTCCAAATATTTCTGATCCTTAGTGGGTTGAATCTCAGGATATGGAATCTGCAGATCAAGGGGGACTGGCTGTATTTATATGCATCTGACTCAGACACTCACTAACTGTAACTCTCAAGAGGACCTGGAGATCACTCTTTCCTTTAAAGTCTTGGTAACAGAAGCATCAGCCTCCTTGAAGAGCTGATGCAGCCACTATGATGGCTGTCCTTTGCACACTAGAGATGATGGTGAGAGGTACTGCCAAGGAATTAGGTCCCTTGACCTCAATGCGGATACTGGAAGAAGCCAGGCAGCAATGCCAAACTGTTTTAGACCAAGTGGCACAATGACTTTAAGAAGCCATAGCAAAGGATTAACAGCGTGTATTTTTACATGTGGGGATCTGTGATGATGGCTTATTGATCCCAAGGTTCCTATTAAACAGACTGACAGCCTTCTAAAGTGTTGCATGGCACCGTAGGCAAAACAATTCCAGGTCTTTGTGCAAGAACCAAACTCAAGTCTCCATAGTGGAGACAGCCTCGTATCTAGTTTCCAGACTAAATCAGATTATAGACCCAAAGTACCTTGACTGAAGGGGCGGCTGGGAGCATTTGAGGAAGGATTTTATAATTGTGGCTTCATGGGTATACCATAAATCTTCCCCCAAGCTTTCCCCAGAAAGAACTATGGTTATTTATCAGGGAGACTTTGCACTGGAGAAACAGAAATACTCAGCTCTTCCATGGTTATTAAGATAATGACTCTGAAATGATACTGATTTCCAGAAACCTGAAAAGCCTCTGTTACCGTTTTCAGAGTGAAGGCTATGGAGGTTGCGTGAAAGATGGATTCTTGGTCTGACTTCTCACGGGAGCCCATCCTGTAGTTATTTCCTCAGTCCCAGAATGTGGGAAGTAGGATATAGCAGAATCATCACACTGTTTCCTTAACCCATGAGATAAGGCATTAAGGAAGGGCCAAGTAGAAGGTTTAAACCACCCCATTCTCTGACCCACATATTGAGTGAGATCTGTTGATTCCTACTACATTCCCACTTGAGTCACCAGGTTGGCCAGTTGTTAAAGTTAAACAGGTCCTGGACAATGTTTCACATTATTTATTTATTTATTTAAGATGGGATTTCACCATGATGGCCAGGCTGGTCTTGAACTCCTGACCTCAGGTGATCCACCCACTTTGACCTCCCAAAGAGCTAGGATTACAGGTGTGAGCCATCGCACCCGGCCAATTTATTTACTTTTTTAAGATGGGGTTTCACCATGTTGGTCAGGCTGGTCTTGAACTCCCGACCTCAGGTGATCCACCTGCCTTGGCCTCCAAAGTGCTTGGATTACAGGCGTGAACCACCACACCCGGCCCACATTTTTTTGTTTTGTGTGTTGCTGTTGGTGTTACACCTTAGAATCACCTGAAGATTTCCTTTTAAATGGTGATATCTGACTTCCACCCCCAGGTACTATGATGTGCATTTTCTAATTATTTTATTTTTGAGACAGGGTCTACCTCTATCACCCAGGCAGAAGTACAGTAGCACAATCTCAGCTCGCTGCTATCTCTGCCTCCGGGCTCAAGTGATCCACCTCAGCCTCTCAAGTAGCTGGGACCACAGGTGCGCACCACCACGCCTGGTTAATTATTGCATTTTTAGTAGACAAGGGGTTTTGCCATGTTACCCAGGCTGGTCTCAAACTGCTGGGTTCAAGCGATCCTCCCGACTCGGCCTCCCAAAGTGCTAGGACTGAAGGCATAAGCCACTGTGCCCAGCCCTATTATGTTTTAATATTTTTTAGTGACAGGGTCTCACTCTGTTACCCAGGCTGGTGTGATCATAGCTCATAGCAACCCCAAACTCCTCGGCTCAAGCGAACCCACATCTCAGCCTCCCAAAGTGCTGGGATTACAGATGTAAGCCACAATACCTGGCCAATTCTTTATTTAGTCATCTTAAAAAAACACAACAGCAATGGTATAAAATAACTTTTATTTACATAATTTATATATGTGTATATATATATATATATAAAACTGCTTTCTTTAGAACAAGAAAATTTATAAATGACATGATATTGCTTTTTTTTTTGTCAAAGACTTCTTCAAGCAAGATAGTATACAGGTCACTTTTGTTTCAAATAACATGATGGTAAACAGTGGATATTAATATTTTTGTCATGCCTCAACCATTTACCAACAATTAGGTGTTCAAACCCTCATGTTGATCACTTGCTAAGATGTAAGTGTTCAGGAGAAAAAGTCAAGATAAAAACCTTTAATCATATCTCCTTTAAGATTAATTAAAAAATTCTTTGCAACATCTTCTTTACATGAATCAGACCTAATACAGTTCTTTCTACCATATAAGGTAAATACGCTGATTAACTTTCTCTTTTCCAAAATTAGGTTTAAGGCTATACCAATAGGATAATTTAGCTGGCTGACTTGATTCTCTAATACAATGAGTCCCTGTATTCTTTATATAGTAAGAAATTCTACCTTCCATAAAACTAGCTTATTATAGATTAAAGAGAGACAGATAATAAAGTTAAAAATTCATATTACACAAGGATAAGTAATAATTAATCATGGGAATCTAACTCCCAAGCTAACACTAAGAGAATGACATCTTTTCAGAATATGAATTTTAAAAACTTACAAAAACAGGACATTAAAATAGCAATGTGATTTTCTACCATGATTTCTGTGACATATTAATCATGAAACAAATGCCTACTTAAAGACAATTTCCACTCAGAATCATATAGCCTTGTCTCAGACAAAATGTTAAGCTGCAAATTTCATCAAAAGTCAATAAAGAAGAGCTCTAACAGCAGTAGTTTCAATAAATTAGCATTACTATTACACCTGCTGAGATATAATTCTCTTCTATTAAGGGATTTAAAAACTGGCCACCATTTTTTCAATTAAAACATAATTATCTAGACTCTAAAATATCTTTTCAATTGAAATACTGGTCATTACATAATACAAACGACACAGTTTTAACTTTTAGGCACAATTCATAACTTCAGTGACAAATAATTCATACATATAGACATCAGCACCTTAGGTAAGAAAATTTGGGGTAGGGGTCAAACTCAAAGGCCAATTCAGCCACAGGACTTCATTCAAATACTGCCTATGGCTTCTTTCACACTGAAATTGCAGAGCTGAGCAGCTGCCAGAGAGACCACCTGGCCTGCATGCCCAAAATAGTTTACAGAAAGTTTCCAACTCCTGAACTAATATATTATCAATCCAAGAGGTTTTTCAAATAAAATCAAAATAAATTTGCTGTTCAATCTGCTTGGGTGGATAATAGAATTACATCTGTAAATCATCAAATCTTGAAATTTAAAAAAACCTTAAATTTATATGGATAATAGCTAACTTCATAAAGTCTTATTTTCTGTTTTTAACATCACAATTACGTTCCGTGCTTAAAGATCTAAGTGTTTCTTTCTTTTCTTTTCCGTGCTTAAATATCTAAGTGTTTCTTTCTTTTCTTTTCTTTTTTTTTTTATTTTTTTGAGACAGTTTTGCTCTTGTTGCCCAGGCTGGAGTGCAATGGCGTAATTTTGGCTCACCGCAACCTCCGCCTCCCGGATTCAAGCGATTCTCCTGCTTCAGCCTCCCGAGTAGCTGGGATTACAGGAATGTGCCACCACGCCTGGCTAATTTTGTATTTTTAGTAGTAGAAACGAGGTTTCTCCATATTGGTCAGGCTGGTCTGGAACTCCTGACCTCAGGTGATTCGCCCGCCTCTGCCTCCCAAAGTGCTGGGATTACAGGCGTGAGCCACCACAACCAGCCGATCTAAGTGTTTCTTGAGAATTTAATGGGAAAAAAACTATTAAGAAATTGGCTTTTAAAAAACTAATATATGTCTGTGTGTGTATAGAGGAGATTGAGTTCTTTATGGAAATTTGTCTCATAAATAAAGTTGAGTTCCCTTACCCTCATGAAAATCCTGATTATCCAAGAAATAAGAAAAACAGAAAATTTCACAGTACAAAATCAATATACTAAACTGAGGGAAAAAAAGGTATTCAAAACATATAACTAGCCAACCATTTTTAGTTATATCATTTTAAATATCTTTAAAATTAAAGAGAAAGAAGAAACAAACAAATTTGTTAATGCCTTCTCTATCTACAATCCGAGGGTAAAAAGAGCTAAAATGGAATAAGCTTTTAAGTAAAAATTTAAAAATAAATAAGCTCTTTGATGTGTCATCTTTATAAATAATTATGTTTAAATACTAATTTTTCAATTAGGACTAATGTTACATCACTATGAATTAGAAAAATATGTATTTTTCAGTCAGACAAACAGCTGATAATGAAAATGTTTTTTAACATTTACCATACTAAACTGGAGTCTGACAATTTGTTTTCATATACAGTCATGTGTCCCTTAACTATATGTTCTAAGAAATGCCTTGTTAGGTGATCGTATGTTACAAACCTCTAACATAGTATGTCACTATGCTGAATACTGTAGGCAGCTGTAACACAATAGTAAGTGTCTGTCTGTCTAAACATACCTAAACATAAAAATGCAATGCACTGTGTTATGATGGCTATAATGTCAGTAGGTGATAGGAATTTTTTTCTCCATTTTAATTGTATGGGACCACTGTCGTATGTGTGGTCCATCACTGACTTAAACATCATTATGCGATACATGACTGTACTTAGAAGCAACTGAAAAGGCCTTCATCCTTCATCATTTCCCCCTAAAAATTAAAAAAAAAAAAAATTCACAGAAGAAATTTCTAAGTGAAAAAAAATAAATAAAAATAAAAAATTTAAAAAAGAAAAAAGAAGTTGCTAAGTGTTAAATATGATACAATCAACCCCCAAATCTGCCTGCACTGCAGTTTATATAGAGACATATCCACAACATTCCCAAATGTCCATGTGTGCTTAGCACAGGAAGAGTCAAAATGTAAACAAGAGTTATTATTTCTGTCTGAGAAAGCAGTCTTAATCGCTTGCTATTTGCAAAATGCTGAAACAATCAGAATGAAAGGAACCTCAGAAATGTTTTCCACTGATTATAAAAGCTTCAAATCAAGCTCATTAAATATTCAAAATCAACCTAAAGAAAAATAGTGATGTTTTGCTCTAATACTGTTTTGTTGATGTAACTGACTCTGGAAATCCTAGACTTAATTTTAAAAAGAAAAAGACAAAAGATTGTTTCATTCTGTTTCATCCACTTCAATGAAGATATCATTGAAGAAATATTCAGAGACTGTGGTTGGCTCCCCTTCAGGGGCCCACTTTTGGCCACTTTTATATCCTTTCAGTAAGGGCTGATCACAAGAAACCTAAAAAGGTAATAAAAATAAAGTAAAATGAAACTGTAATATAACATTTACATATGTGTGTGTATACATACAGTAGTCTAAACTGCTATGACCTGTTTGAAAAGCAATGTGGCAATAAATATTGAGCTTTTATGTTCACAATCACCAACCTAAAAATTTCATTTCTATGCTGTCATATTAAGTAAATAATCCTAAACATGGTAAGGGTTTTATGATAAAGATAACCTTTGTAGCAGTAGTTATAATAAAATTGGAAGCAACTAAATATACAACACTAGATATAATTAGGTAAATTATAGTGTACCCATAATCCATTACTTTATCCTAATTTCCATGAAAAATTTTAATAATGAAAAATATAATATGGTTAAATCTGTAATTAAATAATTAAAGTAAAATATGTTGACTAGTGGCATAAGAATAGATCCATGAAACAAAACAGCACTTAAAGAAAATATATAAAGATACCTTATCAGAAATTAGCATACTCACAAATCTATAAATAAATGAAGATAGCATGGTATTGGCACAGGAATAACAGATGTATCAATGAAACAGAAGACTAGAAACAACCCCAATCTATATGGAAATTTAGCATCTGATAAAAGTGCTATTTGAAAAAAGGTTATTTGATTATTAAATAGATTATGTTAGATATCTATTTAACCATCTCAGGGAGAAAAAAAGTCAGACCTATATCTTACCAAAACAAATTCTAGAAATATCAAAAGATTTAAATGTAAAACTATTTCTAAAAAACTCTACTATAAAAATGCCATGGAAAAACACTTCTATAATTCTGGATGGGGGTAGGTGGGGAAGGGTATCTTTTTATTGTTAATTTTTGAGACAAAGTCTGGCTCTGTGCCCAGGCTGACATGCAGTGGCATGATCTCAGCTCACTACAACCGCCACCTCCCAGATGTCAGCTTCCTGAATAGCTGGGACTACGGGCACATGCCACCATGCCTGACTAAATTTTGTATTTTTGGTAGAAACAGGGTTTTGCCACGTTGGCCAGGCTGGTCTTGAACTCCTCACAAGTGATCCACCCGCCTTGGCCTAAAAGTGCTGGGATTACAGGCATGAGCCACTGCACCTGGCTGGGAAGAGTGCCTTTTTAAACTACCTGAAAGCAGAAAGCTATAGAAGAAAAGATTGATAAATTAATCTATACAGAAATAAAAAATGTCTGCTTGGCAAAAACCGCCTTACACAAAATCAAAAGACAAATGACATATAGAGAAAAAAAAATTGCAGTATTTATCACAAAGGCCTTTTACCCTGAATATAAGAAGAACTTCTAGGTGGCTCACACTTGTAATTCCAGCACTTTGGGAGGCCAAGGGGCAGATGGCTTGAGGCCAGCAGTTTGAGACCAGCCTGGCCAACATGACAAAATTCCAACTCTTCTAAAGATACAAAAATTAGCTGGGCATTGTGGCATGTATCTGTAATCTCAGCTACTTGAGAGTCTGAGACAGGAGAATCACTTGAACCCAGGAGACAGGTTGCACTGAGCCAAAATCATGCCATTGTACTCACTACAGCCTGGGTAACAGAGCAAGTGAGATTCTGTCTCAAAAAAAAAACAACAAAAAACAAAAAAACCATGTCTCAAAAACAAACAAACAAACAAAAACCCACTACTTTGGCAATGACAAGCAAGACTGATAAAATCCTGGTCTCAGAAAACAATTCTAGCAAATAATATGAAATCTTTAAAAAAAAGGTTAAATTGTTAATTACAAAAGTACCCCCTTCAAAGGCTCATGCTATTCAATAAACGTTCACCAGCCTTTTCTTTGTTAAGATCTTAAGGCACCCCAATACTTTTACAGTCTTTGATACAGGTTTACAATTTTTTCCATCCCAGTACTTGCCATTGGACAGCTTCAGGAGACATAGAAATGAAACATGTGAACAAATTCTAGCTTTATAGTTCCTTAAATTCTTGTGGGTGTCAGCACTGCTTTCTTTTGCTTCCACAAATCAGAAGGGTCTCTGGATTAAAGGAATGGCTATTAAGTGTCTATTTATGGTTAGTTCAATGGCTCTGTCCTAACCTAACTGCAACTTCCTGACTCAACACTTTGCTTCTTCCATTACAGAGGAATATGACGGAGAGAAGGATGGGCTCTAAAATAATTTCTGACATAAAATAAAAATAACAAATTACTATGTTTTCCCTAGTTGAGTCTTATATCTAACCTATCTCATACAAACAATAAAATATAGTAGTTATCACATACCTTAGTTGCTGAACTGCTAATATTCTCAGATTGAGTATTAATAACACTTGGAGATGGAAGTGGATCAGAGGACTCTCCATTTTTTTTCTGGCTTTCATTGACTGGATTGGATCTTTTAAATTTCTGCCTTAATGCAGGTATAAGAGGCTTTAGCCGTTTTTTATTATGAAACTGAGTAGGTTCATCAGACTCCAAACTATTCTTTGAACATATTAAAGACAAAAATCCCAGGGGTCTTCTGCCAGGTCTAGAAATACAAATGTAAAGATATTCAAAAATATCCAGGAAGACACATTCTTAATACCTGCTTCTACTTCATGAGGCTAAGGTGGGAGGCTCACTTAAGGCCAAGAGCTCAAGAACAGCCTGGACAAAATTAGCAGGACCCCGTTTCTAGTTTAATAAAAAAACAAACAAACAAAAGAAAACGGAAAAGCTAGCTAGGTGTGGTGGCGCGTGCCTGTAGTCCTAGCTACTCAGAAAGGAAGCTGAGATGAGACGATCACTTGAGCCCAGGAATTAGAAGTTACAGTGAGCCGGCTAGGCGTGGGGGCTCACACCTGTAATCCCAGCATTTTGGGAGTCAAGGCAGGCAGATCATGAGGTCAGGAGTTCGAGATCAGCTTGACCAACATGGTGAAATCCTGTCTGCTAAAAACACAAAAATTAGCTGGGCGTGGTGGTGCTTGCCTGTAATCCTAGCTACTCAGGAGGCTGAGGCAGGAGAATTGCCTGAACCAGGGAAGTGGAGGTTGTGGTGAGCCAAGATCAGGCCATTGCATCCCAGCCTAGGTGACAGAACAAGACTCTGTCTCAAAAAAAAAAAAAAAGAAGTTACAGTGTGTTATGGTCCACCACCGCATTCCAGCCTGGGGAACGTCAGGCAACATCAAATAATCTTTGCCTGTTTTCTATCTAAAATAGACAAAGTCTCAGCACTTTAAATTTAAGCTCTCATTGTACAGAATGTATATCTGAAATATTATTGTATTCCTTGGCCAAAACTTTCTTTTACATTACTGAGGAGTATGTTTATTAAACCTCAAGAGTGAGACTCTGACTCAAAACAAAAGAATTCAAAACAAAACCCCCCAAACCATCTTCTTTCCATTAATGCTAAATTGGCATACTCATACCCATATGCCATGATATATATTTGTGACAAAAGTCAAGGCTTACTCTAGAGCAGTGCTTCCCAAGCTTAAAAGGACATTAAAATCACTGGGGATCTTATTAAAATGAAGATTCTGACAGTTGGTAGTGGGTATGGCCTGAGTCCTGCATTTAACAAGTTCTCAAATGATGTCCATACTGCTGGTGCAAGGACTACACTGAGTGGCAAAGCTGTGGAACAGTGGCCAGCACAGCATGCTCTCCAGGCCACGTGCAGCCCCCAACCTGATTCTGTGAGTACGTTCTACTGGCACACAGCTATGCTCATCTGTTTACATGCCGTCTATGGTTGTTTTTGTGCTGTAACTGCTGAGGTGAATAGTTAAGAGACACCATAAGGCTCACAAAGCCTAAAATATGTACAAATGCCATTCTACAAAAAGCGTGCTGACCTCTGCTCTAGAACACAGTTTCTTAACCAGTTTTAATCCAAACTGTATTGATGTTTCCCTCATTTGATTTTTTTTTTCTTTTTTCAGAAATGGGTCTGGCTATGTCGCCCAGGCTGGAGTATAGTGGCTATGCACAGGCACAATCATAGCTCACTGCAACCTCAAACTCCTGACCTCGAGAGATCTTCCGGCCTCAGCCTCCTGAGTAGTTGGGATTATGGGCATGTGCCACTTGGGCCACATTCTATTTTCAGCACATCTCTAAGGCCAGAAAAGACACTGCTGAGCTTTATTTTCTATAACTTAGATAACAAAAACAATGGATCTATCAACTATGTCTTTTAAGTGACATGTGTCCTTTCCCCTACCCCTTCCCCTTAGTGGAGACCAGTGTATGTTCCCCCACATCCTTCAATTAAGCAATACCACATTCATCTTTTGGATGCTGCTGGCAAGCCAATTACTGATAACCATTGCTTCTAGAATATGAGGAAAATGGGACAGAAGTTGGCTTTGGGCTTAAATTCCAACACTTATTCTTATAGGGAGATAGCCATGGTTTACCTCTTTGGTTTGCCACAAGGGAGAAAAATGACACATTATTTGAGACTTCAATAAAACAACTTCTGATATCAGCCTATGTCTCATACCATATAGATGTGCATTAGTAGCTACTGTACATGGTAAAGTATGTAATGATCAAAATAACCATGGACAATCTGAAAAAATAAGTGTACAAAATATTCTAAAGGTTTTCTAGCTAAAAAAGTTCTGGCACTTAAATTTAAGTTCTTAGTGTACAAACTGTGTATCTGCAATATTACTGTATTTCCTTGGCTGAACCTTCTTCCTTTACTGATGGAGGAAAACATTTATTAAACACCATCCTTAGTACTGGATCTAATCTTTATATATACAGATATCTGTTCTGTATAGATTATATTCATTACGACAGAGAGAGAGACATTTATTAAAGATTTTTTCATGATACCTGGATAGTGGGGCTTTTGAAGATGATGTTTTATCCATTTGCTCAGACTTAGGAGCAGCATCAGTTCTTTCTTCCTTATCAGACACAAACATTTCATTCTGAGGTAACTGAGGCACATTCTTCTCTATGCATCTATCAGGAGATCTAGATACTATACTCTGAAAATCTGGTTCAACTTGCTCTTTTTGATGTTCTGGAGTTGTCAGTGTGCTTCCTGAGGTAGGAAAAATATCTTGTCCCTTGGGAGACTCCCCTTCAAAAGAGAGGGCAAGTTGAAAGAAAGGATACTGAAGTTAATACATTCCATGTAACCCCAGCATTTGAAAAAAAAAAAATGCATGGTATTCTATAAGAAACCTACTCTAGGCCAGGCGTGGTGGCTCACACCTGTAATCCCAGCACTTTGGGAGGCTGAGGTGGGTGGATCACGAGGTCAAGAGATCGAGACCATCCTGGTCAACATGGTGAAACCCGTCTCTACTAAAAATACACAAAATTAGCTGGGCATGGTGGTGTGTGCCTGTAATCCCAGCTACTCAGGAGGCTGAGGCAGGAGAATTGCCTGAACCCAGGAGGCGGAGGTTGCGGTGAGCCGAGATCGCGCCATTGCACTCCAGCCTGGGTAAAAAGAGCGAAACTCCGTCTCAAAAAAAAAAAGAAAAGAAACCTACTCTAATAAGAGTAAGCTAAATTATAATTAGTGGTTGCTCAGATTATTAAGAATATTATAATTAGTTAAAAGATATGCTAACAGCATCTGCACTCAAAAACAAAATAGTTGTATCAATATATTTTGGCCTAGAAAATCTTCTCCCAGAAATATTTCTTCAGTAATCAAAACGGGTAAGTGATCACTCTCTAAAATATCTAAGGTTCCTTAAAATTAAGCAGCTAAACCAATCCAAAATATAGGTGGTAACTTGGGTGTCTGTGGTCTCCTGAAAAGTAAAACCTACAGACTCTCAAATGCTCAAGTTTAGCTAAAGAGCTCTCTTTCCTTAACTAAATAGTAGACAAAAGCCAAAGTAGCCAAAAATTAGGACAAAATAACTAAAGCGCCTTGTTCTCAAAGTGTTTAGTTCTATGAAGGGAGAATTAAGTTGATAAGTATACTTGCTAAAAGAAACAAGCCAATTAAAGATAGCACATAACAAATTCACTAATACTTCACTGTATTGCAGTTTGCTTAATGCTTTTGTTGCAGAGCGGATGGATGGGAGCAATCTTAGAACATCTCTCAAGGTTGGAAACTGTAACCATATTACAGTTTCACAGTCAAAGTTGGGACAATTAAGTCTAAGATTGTGTTAACATAATAAGTGGTTTCTTGGTTTTTTTTTTTTTTGGCTTTTTTTTTTTTTTTTAAAGACAGAGTCTCTCTCTATTGCCCAGGCTGGAGTGCAGTGGCATGATCTCGGCTCACTGCAGCCTCTGCCTTCCAGGTTCAAGTGATTCTCCTGCTTCAGCCTCCCGAGTAGCTGGGAGTAGAGGTGCACGCCACCATACCTACCTAATTTTTGTATTTTTAGTAGAGATGGTGTCTCACCATGTTGGCCAGGCTGCTCCTGAACACCTGACCTCAAGTGACTGCCCATCTTTGCCTCCCAAAGTACTGCAATTACAGGTGTGAGCCACTGCACTCAACCCATTATAAGTAGAATTGTTGTTGTTTTTTTCTTTAGATGGAGTATCACTCTTGGCGCCCAGGCTGGAGTGCAGTGGCATGATCTGGGCTTACTGCAACCTCTGCCTCCCAGGTTCAAGCAATTCTCCTGCCTCAGCCTCCTGAGTAGCTGGGATTACAGCTGCCTGCCACAACGCCTAGCTAATTTTTGTATTTTTAGTAGAGACACGGTTTTGCCATGTTGGCCAGGCTGGTTTCAAACTGCTGACCTCAGGTGATTCACCTGCCTCCGCCTCCCAAAGTGCTGGGATTACAGGCGTGAGCCACTGCGCCTGGCCAATTGTGGTTTTTTTTGTTTTTAAGACAGAGTCTTGCTCTGTTGCCCAGGCTAGAGTGCAATGGTGTGGTCTCGGCTTGCTGCAATCTCCATCTCTCAGGTTCAAGCAATTCTTCTGCCTCAGCCTCCCAAGTAGCTGGGATTACAGGCACCTGCCAACATGCCTGGCTAATTTTTGTATTTTCAGTAGAGATGGGATTACGCCTTCTTGGCCACTCTGGTCTTGAACTACTGACCTCAGGTGATCCACCCACCTCAGCCTCCCAAAGTGCTGCTGAGATTACAGGCGTGAGCCACCAGGCCTGGCCCATTATAAAGTGTCTTTAAAGAACCAGAACCACAATAAGTTTTCAAACTCTTCTATCTTGTAACTCTATAAGATGCCATCAGCAACATTTTTTATTCTTGAGTGCCACGTATTGGTAAAGCAATGGCTATAGGTGTGAATGATAAGCCTAAGTTTGAGAGAAAAGAGAAATAATGTCATAAAATAAACAAAAAATAAAGAATTGTACAAAACACAGGATAAATGTGACTGGTGGCTTTAGTTATGAGGGAAATAGACCCTAAGTGGTTTAATAACCCACAGAAATTTTAGATTCCTATAAAAATATAAAACTCTAAGATCTTTTCAGCCTCCATAGGTGTCTTAAGCCTGAAAAGATCTCTAAAACTAAACTAATTTTTAGGGTAAAGAACCTACTACGAATGCCATTATAGGCCACGGGTGGTGGCTCATGCTTATAATCCCAGCACTTTGGCAGGCTGAGGCAGGCAGATTGCTTGAGGCAGATTGCAGGAGTTTAAGACCAGCCTGGGCAACGTGGTGAAAACCCATCTCTACAAAAAATACATTCGAGACCAGCCTGGGCAACACGGCAAAACCCTGTCTCTACAAGAAATACAAAAATTAGCTGGGCATAGTGGTGCATGCCTATAGTCCTGGCTAGTTAGGAGGCTGAGGTTGGAGGATTACTTGAGCCTGGGAGGTGGAGTCTGCAGTGAGCTGTGATTGTGCCAGTGCACTCCAGCCTGGGTGACAGAGTGAAATCCTATCTCAGGGAAACAAACAAACAAAAAACCCATTACTCAGCTAACTCCTAAAATGTAGTTGTTGAGCTTATGTAGAAAATCCTTGTAGCCACATAGTCTTCAACGGATGACAAGATGAAAAGAGCTGCTTCTGCCTCCCAAACTGCCAAATCCAAGGCTTTTGCAGGAAAGAAGTGCTGATAATAAAAGTACTACTCTTAGAGAAAAGTAATACTCAGCTTCAATCTCACATTTGAACAAGGTACATCCCAAATAATCAGGAGTTCAGAAAAGACAATATGTTAAAATGTATTTCAATTACCTGTTTCCTTAACAACACTTGTTAATTCCTTTGAGTGCACCTGTTTTAAGAAAATTTACAAAAACAAATTAGAAATTTATCAAGTAAAACTGAAATTAATTTTATTTCCTTTTTTCTTTAAGTAAAGAAAGCATGTATCTCCCAAAATGCTCTAACAGAAATTCTACTAAACATTTATGACAAAAATATTGCTACTATTTTAAAGTGTTCCAGAGCCCACTGGAAGAGAGAAAGCTGCGAAATGCCTTTTATAATCAGTCTCAATATCAAAAAGTATGAAAGAAATAGTACAAGCAGCACTTCAAAAGACATCACAATCAAGTAGAACTTGTTTCAAGAATGCAGAGATGATCTGACATGAAATCTAATACAAACCATCAGCTCTGAGGAGAAAAATCATCTGTATTTACAGAAAAGGCATCCAATAATATTCATTCTTGAAAAAAAAACTTATAAAATGGAATAGACATTCTCTTAACACTATAAAATATAACTATTGCAATCTAAGAGCTAGCATCCTACATAGTATACACTGGAAGTTCTCCTATTAAAGTCAGAAATACAGGAAGCTGAGGCAGGAGAATTGCCTGAACCCAGGAGGCGGAGGTTGCGGTGAGCCGAGATCACGCCATTGCACTCCAGCCTGGGTAACAACAGCGAAACTCCATCTCAAAATAAAATAAAATAAATAAAATCAGAAATAACAAAAAGATATGCACTACTGGGACCACTTTTTAACATTATTTTTGAGTTATATTACCCAATATAATTACAAAAGAAAAAAATTAGAACTATAGAATTGGCCAGGCGCAGTGGCTCACACCTGTAATCCCAGCACTTTGAGAGGCTGAAGAGGACGGATCACCTGAGGTTGGAAGTTCGAGACCAGCCTTACCAACATGGAGAAACTCCGTCTCTACTAAAAATACAAAAATTAGCTGGACATGGTGGCTCACGCTTGTAATCCCAGCTACGCTGCTCAGGAGGCTGAGGCAGGAGATCACTTGAACCCAGGAGGCAGAGGTTGTGATGAGTCGAGATTGAGTCATTGCATTCCAGCCTGGGCAACAAGAGTGAAACTCCATCTCAGAAAAAAAATATAGAAGAATTTTATATTTGCAAATGACACGTCTGTTTACCTACAAAACCCAAGAGAATCAACTGAAAAGCTACTGCATACAATGAGGGAACTCAGTAAGCTCTCTAAACAGAAAAGAACTCAATGATAATGGCAACAAAAAAGATAAAACTCATAGGGATAACCTATAAGAAATATGTAAGATCTAGATGAAGAGTTTAACATAAAATAGAAAGACACAAAACATGACTTAAACAAATGGAAAGACATACCATGTTTTTGAACAGGAAGATTCAATATTATAATTATAGTGTTGATTTTCTCTAATCTGTCAAGTTAATGATTCTAATATAAATACCAATATAATTTTTTTAACGAGCTAAACAAGTCAATTCTAAAAGTCATATTAATTTTAGAACATATAAGCAATGAGGAGAAACTTGAAAAAAGAAGAAAACTGTATGGTTTTGGGAGAGACACTATCCCTGTAAGACACCAAAGTGCATTATAAAGCTACAAATTCAAACAGTATGATTCTACCCCAGAACAAATAGATGAATCACTGTAAAGGAAAAGGAAGTTTAGGAATATATTAAAAAAAAAAAAAAACAGAAGATTTACTATCTTACTGATAAAAGTAGAATTTCCTATCAGTGAAAACAAGATGAATTACTCAGTAAATGGTGAAAGTCATATAAGGAAAATTAACTTGGCCTTATTCCTTATACCAAAACAAATTCTCAAAATAGTAATATCAACAATTATTAACTAGAAAATTTAAGTCTCAGAGGACTTCCAGTGTATAACATAGTCTCCAGAAGCCATACACAAAAAGACTGATAAATCTGATTACAGAAAATAAAAAATGTCTTCTATCTGAATACAGGGTGAGTGCATTCTGGAATTTTGTACAGGCTGAGCATCCCAAAGCTGAAAATCTGAAATGCTCGATAATTGTACACTTTTTGAGTGCTGACAAGACACTCAAAGGAAATGCTCACTGAAGCATTTCAGATTTTAGCTTTTCAGGTTTGGGATGCAGAACTGGGAAGTATAATACAAGTATAATGTAATTATCCCAAAATTAAAAAAAAAATCTGAAATTGGAAACACTTCTGGTTCTAAGCATTTCGGATAAACGATACTCAAATGGCAAATGCAATTTTTAAAAAATTGTGGCCGGGTGCGGTGACTCATGCCTGTAATCCCAGCACTTTGGGAGGCCGAGGCGGGCGGATCACCTGAGGTCAGGAGTTCAAGACCAGACTGGCCAACATGGTGAAGCCCCGTCTCTACTAAAAAACACAAAAATTAGCTGGGCATGGTGGCTTGTGCCTGTAATCCCAGCTACTTGGGAGGCTGAGGTAGAATTGTTTGACAACTGGGACACAGGAGGCAGAGGTTGCAGTGACCTGAGATCTCACCACTGCACTCCTGCCTGGGCTACAGAGCAAGACTCCATCTCAAAATACAAAAATCAAAAATAAGCCCAATAGACATTATATTTTTCTTACATAATCACACCACTATATAGCTATCATTTTTAAATGGCATATCAAAATCTGGTGACCTAGTTTTATAGTTAGTAAAATGCCATAATCTTTTGTTCCTGTCATTAAAGATACTTTTAAAACAAAACAAAAAAATGTCTGCACGGAGTGCTGACAAATTACTGAAACTGGTACATGGGGGCACATTATACCCACTCTATCTTTTAATATGTCTGGAAATGTTCATCTAGAAAGTTAATCCAGGCCGGGCACAGTGGCTCACGCCTATAATCCCAGCACTTTGGGAGGCCGAGGTGGGTGGATCATGAAGTCAAGAGATCGAGACCATCCTGGTCAACAAGATGAAACCCTGTCTCTACTAAAAATACAAAAATTAGCTAGGCATGGTGGTGTAGTCCCAGCTACTCGGGAGGCTGAGGCAGGAGAATTGCTTGAACCCAGAAGGCGGAGGTTGCGGTGAGCCAAGATTGTGCCATTGCACTCCAGTCTGGGTAACAACAGCAAAACTCCGTCTCAGAAAAACAAAACAAAACAAAAAAAGAAAGTTAATCCAAAACTTCTGCATGAGAAAACAAGAAAGAAAGTAGAATCAAGAGACAAATGACAAACTGGGAAAAAAGATTCTCACCTCATTACCACACACATATATAACAGAGTTCTTCCAGTTCTATAAGAAAAAGATCAATAATCTCACTGAAAACTGGGTTTAAAAAAAAAGTCGGTTCACAGAAAAGGAAATACACATGGCTCTTAGCATATGAAAAGATGTTCAATCTTACAAGAGAAACTATAAACCTCTGGGATATACCATTTTTTTTACTTACCAAATATATAAAAGTACACTTGCTCTCTGTCAACTATTACTCAAGAACTATTGGTTTTTAACTTTCTCTTTGAGAACATGGATTTTAAGTGGACTTTTCCACAGTGTAATTACAAATTACTGATAAGTACTAGATGAGTACAAAAATAGAGGGTACTAGGAAACCTACACCATAGTGGCTGGTGATTGAATCTGCATGGTCTGGCCAGACTTCCCTGAGGCAATGATGACTGAACTAAAGAAGTCTGTATGTTTTTCAAGGGAATGTTTCATACAGAAGGGGCATCAAATGACATACCCTGGGACATTTAAGGAATTGAAAGATGGCCAGTGTGGCCAGAAAGTGAGGCAGAAGCTGGCACAAAATGAAGAGAGAAAAATCAGCAAGCTGTGGGTTTAGTCCTAAAAGCAATGGGTGGCTTCAAGCATGATGATGATGATACTAATATTATCATTTTATACATTAGGAAACCTGGTCAGAGAGAGAGAGGTGAAGTATCTTGCCTAAGGTGCTACAACTACTAGGTGGTAGAGCCAAGACAGATCTAGACATATATAATGCTTTTTGTCTTATTTTTAGCCACCAACACAGAGCTGGGAATAAATTTCTTGATTACTGTCCATCAATTTTCATCTACCATTGGTTAAAAGTGATAATCCAAAACCAGTTTTACTTGAATAACTCATGGTAAGTGTCAGAACTATCTTTACATATATCTAAAAGTTTAAAGAAAGTAGAGGAAAAAATAGAAACAGATCTGTTGCAATATGGCCATCTATTATTTACTTAACGATTCTATCTTACCTCAGAAGTATATTCTTGGCAATCATCTCTGAAAGTGAGAAAACATTTTTTGGCAGGAGGAATGTGGTCATTTTCATCAAGCCTGCAATGAAATCTCTTCCTGGATACAAGATCCAAATTATCAGAAGGCTTTTTAGAATCACCTCTTCCAGTAATAGATAAACCCATGGCATCCTGACCAACTGAAGTTGTTGGTAAACAAATACTGCATAGAAAAGAAATACATACTAAATCTCTGAATTAGAAGTTATGTAATTTTTATTTCATGATCCTAGAAATCCTTCCAATAATAAAGTTAAAGGCTGGGGTATTCCAATGAAAATTCCAAAAAACTCCAAACTAACTAACAGATACATGGCCATGGCCATCAAAATGCTATTAACAGTTCTGGGCTCCATTCATACTTAAAGGGTCATAACTTAAATTCCACAATACTGAATTAAATCTGAATATTTAATAATATTTTCCCTGATTGTAAAGTTAAACTTTTAATCTAGTCCAGGCGCAGTGGCTCACAACTGAATCCCAGCACTTTGGGAGGCCAAGGTGGGTGAATTACCTGAGGTCAGGAGTTTGAGACCAGCCTAATCAACATGGTGAAACCCTGTCTCTACTAAAAATACAAAAAATTAGCCAGGTGTGGTGGCATGCACCTATAGTCCCAGCTACTTGGGAGGCTTTGCCTCAAGAATCGCTTGAACTTGGGAGGTGGAAGTTGCAGTGAGCTAAGATCCTGCCCCTGCACTCTAGCCTGGGCAAGAGTGAGACTGTCTCCCCTCTCTGTCCCCCTCCAAAAAAGGTAAAAGGCTTCAATTTCTAATGTTACATGATACACAATTATCTTAATTAATGGTGGTTAAGATACAACTTAACACTTCCAAATAAAGAATTAAAATAAGAATATCAAGAATACCCAGGCACAGTGGCTCATGACTATAATCTCAGCACTTTGGGAGACCAAGGTGGGAGGAATGCATAAGGCCAAGAGTTCCAGACCAGTCCAGGTACCAGAGCAGGACTGCACCTCTGCAAAAAAAATAATTTTTAAAAAATTAGCCAAGCACAGTGGTGTGCACCTATAACTGAAAAGCTACTTGAAAGGCTGAGGCAGGAAGAGCTCTTTTTTTTTTTTCCTCACTCTATTGCCCAGGCTGGAGTGCAGTGGCACAATCTCGGCTCACTGCAACCTCCACCTTCCGGGTTCAAGTGGTTCTTGCTTCAACCTCCCGAGTAGGTGGGATTACAGGTGCATGCCAGCATGTCCAGCTAAATTTTGCATTTGTAGTAGAGATGGGACTTCACTATGTTGGCCAGGCTGGTCTTCAACTCCTGACCTCAGGTGATCTGCCCACCTCGGCCTCCCAAAACACTGGGATAACAGGCATGAGCCACCATGCCCAGCTAGGAGAATATCTTGAGCCCACAAGTTTCAGAATGCAGTGTACTATGATGGCCCCTTACACTCTAGGCTGGCCACCAAAGGCAAGTCTCTTAAAAAAAATACACACACACACACACCACATATATTTTTATATTACATAAAAAAATCTATTTTACCATTACCACTGTATTATTTTCACAACTTTCTGTGAATGTGTATTTCACAGTTTCATATGTATGCATCTATACAAAGTAACCACACTTTTAACAGGTAGCATTTTATGATCCAGACTATTAATTTTTTTAGCTTTCAAAGTAACTTAAAATAATAAACAAGTTTCATACAAAACTAATATATGGAATATTTAAATGGCATCTTTATCAGATAAAAAAATCTACCACATTACATTTCTTCTCTAACTTACCACATACATACTAATCTCTAAAACAACAACAACTAATATTGGTGAATGGTTTGTTCAACCAATACTACTTAATAAATAAATCACTTTTCCTCCTAGCAAAAACAGTTTCACTCGTTCATTACCTCACATCACCCCTTTCTTCAGTAGTCACTGATTTGACCAATATGGGAGCTGGCAGTAAAGGGTTTGGCATTAACTGTGCAGCGGCATCAGTAAATTCTTCTACTGCATTGGTTGGGATTTCCACCAGAGTTAAAATAAATGCTTGTTCATCTTCTCCATCTTGAGATATATTAGCAACTAGATTCACTATCAAAGTTTAAAAGTTAGTAATCAAAAAGTTCAACTCTGAAACAACAGAATATCATTAATTCATCTCATTTCTAAAAAGACAGTATCAGGACAACTTATTAAGACTAAATAAATGCTCCCCACCCAAAACCCCCCACCAGCCTAAAGCAGAAGTCATTTCCTTCTTTTTTTTTTTTTTTTTTTTTTTTTTTAAAGGAGACAAGAGTCTCACTTTGTTGCCCAGGTTGGAGTGCAGTGGCACAATCTCAGCTCACTGCAACCTCTGCCCCCTGGGTTCAAGTGATTTTTTTTTAATTGCATTTTAGGTTTTGGGGTACATGTGAAGAACATGTAAGATTGTTGCATAGGTACACACATGGCAGTGTGGTTTGCTGCCTTCCACCCCATCACCTATATCTGGCATTTCTCCCCATGTTATTCCTCCCCAACCTCCCCACATTCCGTTGTCCCTCCCCTAGTTCCCTCCAACAGACCCCAGTGTGTGATGCTCCCCTCCCTGTATCCATGTGTTCTCATTGTTCAACACCCGCCTATGAGTGAGAACATGCGGTGTTTCATTTTCTGTTCTTGTGTCAGTTTGCTGAGAATACTGGTTTCCAGGTTCAACCATGTCCCTACAAAGGACATAAACTCTTCTTTTTTTATGCCTGCACAGTATTGTGCCTCAGCCTCCCAAGTAGCTGGGATTACAGGTGTGCGCCACCACACCTGGCTAGTTTTTGTATTTTTAGTAGAGGTGGAGTTTTTAGTAGTATGGAGTTTTGCCATGTTGGCCAGGGTGGTCTCAAACTCCTGGCCTCAAGTATCTGCCCACCTCAGCCTCCCAAAGTGCTGGGATTACAGGAGTGAGCCACCATGCCTGGCCCAAGAAGTAATTTCATAAAGTATAAAGATGAGATACTATGGAGAAGATTTATGTCTCTAAGAAACAAAACTGATACAAAAAATACTTCAAAGTGTTTTTATAAAAGTTTTTAAATTCAAGGCCAGCATAGACTAAAATAAAACTGTTTTGTGTTTTTCCATAGTTAAATAAGGGGTAAAAATCATACAATTAGGTTCTATGACATGTCACTGAAGCATATTATCATACCTGTTAGGTCTTGAGGATTGATTACATTCTCTTGTTGGACTTCTGGAATACTCGTTGGTGTATACTGCCATAAAAAATTAAAATGAAAGAGTGAAGTTGGCCAAATCTTAGATTTGAAAAGTTTTCCTGTCAATATGAATATACTGAAGCGATTAACTCAACAACATCTAACCATATACGGTTTTCAAGTGTTTGAAGCTTTAGACTGTTCCAACAAACTTCTGACTCATCTAAATTAATATAAATACAAGGAATCCTAACTAAATTGTGAAATATGTGCATTTTATAAAATGATTTTTGAAGTGACAGGATAGGAAGACTCAAACCACACAATTTTTTCTCTACTCTCATCACACCAGCCATTGTACTATTAGTCGGTGACACATGAATGGAGCCAAACTGCTTTCCCTGCATCCAGTATGGTAACCTCCAATCTGTTTTCCAAAAAACTGCAAACACTGTTTTTCTAAAATACAATCCTGACTGTAATTCTCCACTGCTTAAAATCTCTCAGCTCACTACAACCTCAGCCTCCTGTGCTCTAGCAATCCTCCCACCTCAGCCTCTTGAGTAGTGGGGAGTACAGGTGCACGCCACCACATCTGGCTAATTTTTTTGCATTTTGGGGGTGATGAGATGAGGTTTTGCCATGTTGCCCAACTCCTAGGCTTAAGTGATCCACCCATCTGGGCCTCCCAAAGTGCTGGAATTACAGGTGTAAGACACCAGGCCTGGCTTCTACTGCTTAAAATCTTAAAACTTGGCTGGGCACGATGGCTCATGCCTGTAATCCCAGCACTTGGCGAGGCCAAGGCGAGCAGATCATGAGGTCAAGAGATCAAGACCATCCTGGCCAACACAGTGAAACCCCATCTCTACTAAAAATATAAACATTAGCTGGGCATGGTGGCACACGTCTCTAGTACCAGCTACTCGGGAGGCTGAGGCAAGAGAATCACTTGAACCAGGGAGGCAGAGGTTGCAGTGAGCTGAGATTGCACCGCTGCACTCCATTCTGGGTGACAGAGCGAGGCTCCATCTCAAAAAAACAACAACAAAAAAAACTTAAAACTTTCATTTTGCAACAAACAATGTCAATAATTGATTAAGGCAAGAATTATCAATGGATATTAAAACTATAGGGTGACAGCTTGCTGGGTTGGTCTCATCTGACAAATTACTAATACAGAGTAAAAAAGATGCCATTGTAATGAAGAAATCTGGCAGGTACCATTCTAGCCAAGTGATCAGTGAGCATCACCAATAATGGGACAAAATGACATTATGTATCTCCTGATGTGATGTAAATGGAAGAATATGTCATTACCTATATAGTAATCTTGCCCTAAAATATTTAAGTTGAATCTAGTAATGAGGAAGCAATTTAAAATAAGAAATCTATTCTGTAGACCAGCCTAGACTGGTCTAAACTTCTCTTGTTTCTTCTCTTTTGTGAAGAAAAAGACGGAACAAGCACTCTAGATTTAAAAAAAATAAGGAGAAATAATAATCAATGCAATGTGAGAGCTCCAATTAGACCTTGAATTTAAGAAAAAAAGAAGCTGGCCAGTTGCGGTGGCTCACACCTGTAATCCCACCATTTTGAGAGGCTGAGGTGTGCAGATCATTTGAGGCCAGAAGCTCAAGACCAGCCTGGCCAACATGGTGAAACCCCATCTCTACTATATATTTGTTTCTATTATACAAACAAATTAGTCAGGTGTGATGGTGCACAGCTTTAATCCCAGCTACTTGGAAGGCTGAGGCATGAGAATCACTTGAACCTGAGAGACGGAGGTTGCAGTGAGCCAAGATTGTGCCACTGCACTCTAGCCTGGGTGACAGAGTAAGACTCTGTTTCAAAAAGAAAAGAAAAAAGCTATAATAGACATGATTGGGACAACTAGAGAAACTGGAATGGAAACTGTGTATTACATATTGTTGAGACAATGTTAAACAGTGCAGTAATATTGAGTGTGACAACAGTACTGTCCTGTCTCTGTAAGAGAACTTTCTTGTCCTTATTAGATACAAGATGAGGTATTTATGGGCTCAACTTACTTTCAAATGATTCCATTTTATTTATTTATTTATTTTTGAGACAGAGTCTTGCTCTGTTGCCCAAGGCTGGAGTGTAATGGCGCAATCAGGGCTCACTGCAACCTCCATCTCCTGGTTGCAAGCAATCCTCACACCTCAGCCTCCCGAGTAGCTGGGTAAACAAGTGCATGCCACCACACCTGGCTAATTTTTGTATTTTTGTAGAGACGGAGTTTCACCTTGCTTGCCAGGCTGTTCTTGAACTCCTGACCTCAGGTGATCTGCCACCTCAGCTTCCCAAAGTTCTGGGATTACAGGCATGAGCCAGCCCACTAAGCCAAGTATCTATCTATACAGATGGAGAGCAAGACAGAGTAAAAACACAAATGAGGCAAAGTATTAACAATTAATGAATCAAAGTGAAGTGTATAGGAGAACTCTAAGATTTTTGTAACTTTTCTCTAAGTTTAAAATTATTTCAAAATAAAAAGTCAGGGTGGGGTGAGGAATCTTGTAACTTTAGATGTAACCAAACTCCTTAGCAAGTAATAAAAATCCTTTTATGATCTGTCTGCAGGCTACCTAACTTCATCTCTAATCACTTTCTTCATTAATATTCCCCTCACATGAATCGTGCTGTTTCATACTGGTTTGTTTTTGGAGACAGGATCTCACTCTGTCTCCCAGCCTGGAGTGTGTATGGCAACCATGGCTCACTGCAGCCTCTACCTCCCAGGTTGAAGTGATCCTCCCACGTCAGACTGCTGAGTAGCTGGGGCTACAGGCACATGCCAGCATGCCTGGCTTTTTTTTTTTTTTAAAAGACATTAATAGGTGTGAGCCACTGACCCAGTCCACACCCGTTCTTTACACATGTTCCTTTCCCTTTAACTGGATAATGTATGCATGTTCTTCAAGTCCAAGACTTCTCTCACCTGGGGAACTTTTTATTGAACTGTTCACGTATTGGTTATATGACTGCATACACTTATAAAAACCTGAAGAATTACACACTAAAAAGGGTAAAGTTACCTGGTTGCAGTGGCTCACGCCTGTAATCCTAGCACTTTGGGAGGCCAAGGCAGGAGGATCACTTGAAGCCAGGAGTTTAAGATCAGCCTGGCCATTAAGGCGAAACCTATCTCTACTAAAAAAACAAAACCCAGCTGGCTATGGTGGTGCATGCCTGTAGTCCGAGCTACTTGGGAGGCTGAGGCAGGATAATCTCCTGAACGTGGAAGGCAGAGGCTGCAGTGAGCTGAGATCATACCACTCCACTCCAGCCTGGGCAACAGAATGTTAATTAAAACAAATAAAAAATGAAAATAAAAGACGTGAAATTTATTATATGTAAATTATGCCTTATTATTTTTAATGGAGGAAAATACCTTGCTATCCCTTATTATATTGTACATTCTTTTACCTCTGGCACAGGAAGTGTAAGTACACTGTCTCCTTTAGAGTCCTTTATCTGGGGCTCTTCAACAGAATTTTCACCAAGACCCCTATCCAAACCAAGTGTGCGGGGCCCTGTCTCAGAGGAAGCAATTGGAGCAACTGACAACATGTGAACCTCTTGAGAACTCTCGTCTTGATTTTCATTTCTGAAAGAGAGTTTGGTATGTCATTTGAAATCAGGCAAATCATTTTTAGAGCTAGGTGTGTAAAAGATCATATAATTCAATGGTTTTCAAACTTTTAAAACATATTTAATGCAACAAAACTTCTTTTTCAAATGCTTACAGCCACAACTTAAGGGCTACAACTGAAACAACATAAAGTGAATCTCAGAATCTCTTCCCTCTTTTACCTTTCAGTTAGGTTTACTTCTTGAGGAATACTGGTCCCTTTGATACCAGGTACAAACGCCAATTTGCTCTGCTCATTATTCTCTGCTGTTGTAACTGGTCCAAGGTTTTTATCTTCCAATTCTGTTGCTTTGGAAGCATTTTTCTCTGTTTCTTAAACAAAAAGCACACTTAAGATATAGACCAAAATAATACAGCTAAAATCCCTATATTAGAAACATATTTCATCTTAAAAGGAAGATCCCTATAAAGTGACTCTTCCAAACTTCTCTTAATCCACAAATCAGGCTTATAAACATGGCAGAAAGTTCTGACTAACAGATTTTTGAATAGTAAAAAAGATGATTAATAAATCCTGCTCTGCAAATATTTCACTTCAGGCTGCCACAATTGTATCTTTACTTTATGGTACTAGCATCAATAATTAGAAACTCACACACAAAAGGGGCTTAGAGGTGGGTACACGGAGGTTTGCCTAGTTTCACTTTAGAGGAAGTCTTGGGGAAGGAGCTGCACTGCAAAGAATAATATCACAAACGGGGAAAAAAAGTCTTCCATATAGAAGAGGTAACTTGAGCCTACATGTTGAGAAAGGTTTTAGAAAAGGTGATCCTTCATGGTTCTTAAGTATTTTGTATCATGTTTAGTGCAACACTAAATATACGTTCAGTGCAACACTAAATATATGTTTACTGTGATACCATGAATAACACCATGTGCATCCAAAGTACCATTAATGATGCTGGAAGTGCTCCCAAGAAGCAGAGAGAAGTTGTAACATTTGAAGAAAAAGCTGAATTGCTGAATATATATTACACCTGCAGTTATGGTTGCCCACCATTTCAGGCAGATGTTTCATCTTGTAAACAGATGACATAAACTTTCGATACTGATAAATACAATGCAGTACTGAAAATATATTTTCTCTTCCGTATAATTTTCTTCCTTTTATATTTTTTTGAGACAGGATCTTGCTCTGTCGCCCAGGCTGGAGTGCAGTGGCATGATCATAACTTACGACACCCTTCATCTTGCAAGCTCAAACCTCCAAGTAGTTGGAACCACAGGTATGTGCCACCACATCTGGCTAACTTTTAAAAATTATTTTGTAGAGACAAGGTCTCCCTATATTGCCCAAGCTGGTCTCAAAACTCCTCGGCTTATGTGATCTTCCTGCCTCTGCCTCCCAAACAGCTAGGATTTCAGGTGTGTACCTCCACCATACCTAGCATGATTTTCTCTTTTCTTTTTTGGAGATGGAATCTCACTCTGTTACCCAGGCCAGAGTACAGTGGCATGATCACAGTTCATTGCAACCTCAACCTCCCTGGGCTCAGGTGATACTCCCACCTCAGACTCCCGAGTAGCTAGGACTACAGGGATGCGCCACCATGCCCGGCTAATTTTTTACGTTTGTAGAGATGGGATTCTGCCTTGTTGCTCAGCCCAGGCTAGTTTAAATTGAGCTGCCTGCCTTGGCCTCCCAAAGTGCTGAGATTATAGGCATGAGCCACTGTGTCCAGCCCCAGCCTGATTTTCTTAAAAACATTTTCTTTTCTCTATGGCTCAAGGATGTCAGTTGAAAAACCAGAAAAAAGAAAATAAAAAAAAATTTCTCTAACCTATTTCATCATAAGAATATAGTATATGATATATATAAAATACAAAATATGTGTTAACTATCATATCAATAAGGCTTCAGGTCAGTGGTAAGCCATTAGTATGTACGTTTTTGGGGAGTCAAAAGTTATACATAAATACATTTTTTCAATTCATAAGAGACAGGGTCTATGCTGCCCAGACTGGCCTTGAACTCCTAGGCTCAAGCCATCCTCCCACCTTGGCCTCCCAAAGTGCTGAAATTACAGGTGTGAGCCATTGCACCCAGCCTATACACACATTTCTGACTGAATGGGGAGGTCAGTTCCCCTAGTTCAAGGGTCAATGAAAGAGAGAGAGAGAGAATAAAAAGACAAAAAAATTGATCAAACAAACATAGCAAAATGGTACTAATTAGTAAAACCACTTGGTAGATGTATGGATATTTATTTTACAGCTCATCTTACTTTTTAATTTGAAACTATTTTATAGTAAGTTAAAACAATTTAATGACCAAATATTTATTTGAAATGTTAATGTAATTTCTTGTGTCAAAATGATTTTGCAATTTATAAGAGAATAAAATTTACCTCTTTGAAAACCATTCCAAGCTCATGGTTAGGAAGAATAAATATTGTGAAAATGGCCATACTGTCCAAAGTAATTTATAGATTTAACACTATCCTCATCAAGCTACCTACGACCCTCTTCACAAAACTGGAAAAAACCACCTTAAACTTCATACAGAACCAACAGAGAGCCCACATAGCCAAGACAATTCTAAGCAAAAAGAACAAAGCTGGAGGCATCATGCTACCTGACTTCAAACTATACTACAAGGCTACAGTAATCAAAATAGCATGGTACTAGTACCGAAACAGAGATATAGATCAATGGAACAGAACAGAGGCCTCAGAGGCAACACCACACATCTATAACCATCTGATCTTTGACAAACCTCACAAAAACAAGCAATGGGGAAAGGATTCCCTGTTTCATAAATGGTGTTGGGAAAACTGGCTAGCCATGTGCAGAAAGCAGAAACTGGACCCCTTCCTGACATCTTACACTAAAATTAACTCCAGATAGATTAAAGACTTAAACATAAGACCTAACACCATAAAAACTCTAGAAGAAAACCTAGGTAAAACCATTCAGGACATAGGCAAGGACTTCACGACTGAAACACCAAAAGCATTGACAACAAAAGCCAAAATAGACAAATGGGATCTAATTAAACTCCAGAGCTTCTGCATAGCAAAAGAAACAATCATTAGAATGAATCAGCAACCTACGGAATGGGAAAAAATTTTTGCAATCTACCCATCTGACAAAGGGCTAATATCCAGAATCTATAAAGAACTAAAAGAAATTTATAAGAAAACAAACAAACAAACAAACCTATTCAAAAGTGAGTGAAAAATATGAACACACTTTTCAAAAGAAGATATATGTGAGGCCAACAAAAATATAAAAAAATGCTCATCATCACTCATTAGAGTGATGCTCATTAGAGAAATGCAAATCAAAACTACTTTGAGATTCTATCTCACACCAGTTAGAATGGCGATCATTAAAAAATCAGGAGACAACAGATGCTAGAGAGGATGTGGAGAAATAGGAACACTTTTACACTGTTGGTGCAAGTGTAAATTAGTGCAATCACTGTGGAAGACAGTGTGGTGATTCCTCAAGGACCTAGAAATTGAAATTCCATTTGACCCAGCAATCCCAGTACTGGGTATATAGCCAAAGGATTATAAACTGTTCTGTTATAAAGACACATGCACATGTATGTTCATTGCGGCACTATTTACAATAGCGAAGACTTGGAACCAACCCAAATGCCCATCGATGACAGACCAGACAGGGAAAATGTGGCACATATACACCACGGAACACTATGCAGCCATAAAAAATGATGAGTTCGTGTCCTTTGTAGGGACATGGATGAACCTGGAAACCAACATTCTCAGCAAACTGACATAAGAACAGAAAATCAAACACCACACGATCTCACTCATAGGCGGGTTTTGAACAATGAGAACACATGGACACAGGGAGGGGAGCATCACACACTGAGGTCTGCTGTGGGGGACTAGGGGAGGGACAGTGAGGGGTAGGGAGTTGGGGAGGAATAACATGGGGAGAAATGCCAGATATAGGTGATGGGGATGGAGACAGCAAACCACATTGCTATGTATGTACCTATGCAACAATTCTGCATGTTCTTCACATGTACCCCAGAACCTAAAGTGCAATAAAATATATATATTAAAAATAATAATAATAATAATAAAATTTACCTCTTTGAGCTTCCAGTTCTTCCCCTTTGGTTACACACAAACTGGAAACTTCCTGATAATCGTCTAACCTGTTGGTCCCTAAAATCTTCTCAAGATGTGGTTTAGGCTTGGCAAATCTACTTAATCTCGAATTACTGGTCACTTTAGAAGTTGTATTCCTAAAAAAAGAAGATAGAGAAATTTATGAATTATGTTAGATATTGCTCTTTCACGTTAATACCATCTGTCTAGCACTGATAAGAGTGAATGACCGACCTCTTAGGTGCCACATTGTCTACAAGTGTTCATGCATTAATACTAAAATTACAATGTAGTAACTTTAATAGAGGTCTTGAGAAGAGAATTTAGTCTGTATTTGTAAAACAGACCGTTTACATAAAACTATTTCATTAACGCTTCAAAGACAAACAGCATTCACTACTATAATTTAAATATGCAAACCATTAACCTAAAATCAGTCAGTCAATCTTTAAAGAGTAAGAAATCAGCATTGCCTACTTTACATTTACAAGCATTACTCAAAGCTATTAACTAATTTGACGGTGGTTTTAGTAATACATATTAGTTGAATACTAAAATAAACCTGGTTGGTGTAGCATTCTCCTTTAGGTTCTCCATTAAACTAATTTCTTTTCTGGAACTTTGCTCCTCCAACACAATCTTGTCTTCTTCAAATGATGGAAGAGATGTAGTAATGACAGGTGAAGAAAGCTCCTGACATTCATGAACAATTCTGTGATTTACATTTTCTAGGCTAAAAGGAATATGGCTTTTATCCTTTGAATGAACATGAGGAAGTATGCATACTCCTACTGAAGAAAAGAAAAAAAACAAAATTAAAACAAACCAAATTATAGATGCTCAAAATAAATTCCTCAATATTTAGTAACTAAAATTCTGTATTATTAAAGTTTGCTTTATCTGTGCAGCAGCAATAGAAAAAGATAAAAAAAACATATAAATATAATAAAAATTTGCTCTTGTTGGCTATAAATTTAAATTTATTCTCTCCTATTTCAGGCCAGGGATTTGACCTATTATGAGCTTAATAATTCCCTTTTTTTTTTAGACAGAGTCTCACTCTGCTGCCCAGGCTGGAATGCAATGTCATAATCTCAGCTCACTGCAACCTCTGCCTCTTGGGTTAAAGTGATTTACCTGCCTCAGCCTCCCAAGTGGCTGCGACTACAGGCGTGCACCACCATACCCAACTAATTTTTGTATTTTTAGTAAAGACAGGGTTTCACCATATTGGCCAGGCTGGTCTAGAACTCCCGACTTCGTGATCCACCCGCCTTGCATCCCAAAGTGCTGGGATTATAGGCGCGAGCCACCACGCCCGGCCGAGCTTAATAATCCTTATAGACTAAAATTTTATTCAATTTTAAGTAAAAATGAGTCTTTTTGTTACTTTCAGTAATTATATAATCTCAGACAGATTTCAAGTTAGATAGCACTTCCATCATTTACAATTTTTAAAATCTTTTTTTTTTTTTTTTTTGGTGGGGGGGGGAGGAAGGCAGGAAGGAAGGGAAGAAGGACGGTAATTTTTAAAATCTTTATGTTCCGCTCTTGTTACCCAGGCTAGAGTGCAATGGCGCGATCTCGGCTCACCGCAACCTCCGCCTCCTGGGTTCAAGCAATTCTCCTACCTCAGCCTCCTGAGTAGCTAAGATTACAGTCATGTGCCACCATGCCCAGCTAATTTTTTGTATTTTTAGTAGAGACGGGGTTTCACCATGTTAACTAGGATGGTCTCGATCTCTTGACCTCGTGGTCCACCCGCCTCGGCCTCCCAAAGTGCTGGGATTACAGTCGTGAGCCACCGCACATGGCAAACCTTTATGTTCTATATATACTTTATGTTCTATACATTTTTGACAGGCTCCACTGCAATACTCTCCTACTAAGAAAGGAGCCCCACACAAAACACAAACCAGAGATTTTCCTAGTATATATGTTTCCAAGCCTAAAAGTCTAATATGTATTTATCTATTTTTAAGACAGGGTCTTATTTTGTTGCCCAGGCTGGAGTGCAGTGGCATGATCTCAGCTCACTGCAGCCTCGACCTCCTGAACTCAAGCGATCCTCCCACCTAGCTTCCCAAGCAGCTGGGACTACAGGTGTGCACCACCATGCCTGGCTCTCATTTTCTGTATTTTTTTGTAGAGACGGGGTACCACCATGTTGCTTGAGCTGGTCTTAAACTTCTGAGATCAAGCAATCGCCAGCCTCAGCCTCCCAAAGTGCTGAGATTACAGGCATGAGCTGCTGTGTTCAGCCCAAAAGTCTAATACTTAAAATGAATGGAGGCTGGGTGCAGTGGCTCACACCTGTAATACCAGCAGTTTGGGAGGCCAAGGCGGGTGGATCACCTAAGGTCAGGAGTTCAAGACCAGCCTGGCCAAGATAGTGAAACCCCATCTCTATTAAAAATACAAAATTAGCTGGGCATGGTAGATGGCACCTGTAATCCCAACTACTCAAGACGCTGAGACAGGAGAATTGCTTGAACCTGGGAGGCAGAGGTTACAAAGAACCGAGATCGTGCCACTGCACTCCAGCCTGGGCAACAAGAGCGAAACTCCACCTCAAATGAATGAATGAATGGTAGACTACTCATAACCAGGCAAAATAATTACCAGGAATAGTATACTTATTCATTTCATGCAGTTAAAAGACACTGAGATTGGTCAGGCACAGTGGCTCATGCCTGTAATCCCAGCAATTTGGGAGGCTGAGGCGGGCGGATCACGAAGTGAGGAATAAAAGACCAGCCTGACCAAGATGGTAAAACCCCGTCTCTACTAAAAATACAAAAATTAGCTGGCTGTGGTGGTGCACATCTATAATCCTAGCTACTCAGGAGGCTAAGGCAGGAGAATCACTTGAACCCCAGAGGCAGAGGTTGCAGTGAGTAGATTGCACCACTGCATTCCAGCCTGAGTGACAGACTGAGACTCCATCTCAAAAAAAAAAAAAAAAAAAAAAAAACTGAGATAGTAAAGATTTATTACTTGTCTGTGATTTCAGTCTGATAAATTAAAAATCTTGGTTGACATATCTTTTGGCTCTGTCCAGACTGAGAACAGTTTAAATTATTTTAAAATTATTTCAATGAGTTCTATTGTCTTTGTGCTGTATTTGTCATCTAATTGTGAACGCCATCCCAAGCAGCAACTCCTTTGTTATAAGACACATGTATAAAGTGATCAGTGATCAATGAGCTCAGTTAACCAATCATGTTCATGATGGTAAAGGTAGTATTCACTAGAGCAACTATTCCATGAATACAAATTATTCTTAATAAACCAAGTGCACAATCTAGAATGAGCTGTCGCTCCACCTAAACGGTAGTAAAATAACAGGTGAATCAATACACACATATCACCTTTTATGGAAGAACAAAATGAAGACAACTTCAAATGTAAAAAGGTTACTACTAAATGTGGGTATAATTTCCTAAAAGTTAGATATTAGAAGTTTCTATTTTTGGTAGGACTTAGCTTTCATTCTTACCATCATCCTGTTCAGTACTGATCTCTGACTGCAATACTAGATCTCCCATTGTAAGTAAAGTTATTGCAGCTTCAGTGCTTCCATCATTGGTACCTTGTGAGGAAATACATCAACATTAAAACAGAAGAACAAATCTGGGAATCTGTTTACTTAAAAAAAAATTTTAATTGAGGTGTTTATCGCCTAGTAGCAGGTTCCAATATCCTCTGAATTATTATTCCCTTACTAAGGAAGTCTTTTGCTCAAGTTATATGCTACAAATAAATCATCACTGTTGGTTTTGACTCACTCACCATGCCACCCCCCCCATTAAATAATGGGAGCATTTCTTCAAGGAAAATGCTCCCCCATTTGTTTAGATCCAGAGGAAATGCTAAAATACTTCTTATTTAAACATTTAACTTTTAATTCACTTTCTAAAATAACATTCTAAGAATCCACATTTCTCATAGAGATAACATAATCAATAGGTGAATCTTTTGGTTAAAACTTTCCAGCAAACCCATTCACTTATTATCCCCACTATTATATCACTGTACTAGTGTTAAGCAAGGTAGTCTTAGCAGTTTCCTTGATAACAGTTACCTGGTTCATCTTGGATATGTTCACCTGTGGTCATTTCCTAAAAAAGAAAAAATTAAGTAACATCTTAAATAGTTCCCCAAACATGTTCTGTTTTTCAACATGCACTACATTTTTAGAGGTCTTTCCATACTTTTCATTACAACAGTGTAAACTTGTCTTAATTTATAATTATTCACAAAATTTCACCAGCAAGAACAGAAATAATTTAAAGGCCAAATTCTTATGTCTCTTGCTCCTGATTTTATCTTTTTTTCTGTATTATATGCAAATTTTAACTCTGATCATATCGTTATATACATATGCCATTCTTACTTTACTTTTTCATTTTCATAATCCTTCAACTCTAGTCATATCTGTTGCCAATTTTTACCCAGTAGAAACCAAGGCCTGAAGGGTAATGCAAAATTTGTGTACTACTACGTAGCTTAAAACTTAAATGCATTTTAATAAATTAAGAAGTTAAAGAATCAATGTAAAGGGCGACAACTTGAGAAGCTTCACTGACCCACACTCCTTAGGGAAACTGATTTAAAAAACAAAACATTTGAAAGTCTCTGAAAATAATCCTAATGACAAAAAGCAAATAAATAAATACCTATTCAAGAAAATCTGCTAACAAAGGTGAGAGTCTATGTGATCCAAAACTGTTCTCTCTCTCTCTTTCCTCTCAGCTCAGCGTGGCAGAGACTTCACTTCAAGCTGCTGCACCCAAAAAAACAAGGCCCCCTGTTCCCAAGGTCCCACCTGGAGAGCATTTTTCCCTAGGGGAGCAGGACTTCAGCTCCTGACATCACGAGAAAAGTACAGACCGATATCTATTATGAATACGGACATAAAAATCATCAATAAAATACTAGCAAACTGAATCCTTCAACGTATAAAAATTAGACATTATGACCCTAGAATTTATCCTGGGGAAGCAAGGTTGGTTTAACATCTGAAAATCAATACAATAAAAGACAAAATTCCCATGAACATCTCAATCGATGAAGAAAACGTATATGACAAATTCCAACTCTCTTTAATGACAGAAACATTCAACAAACTAGGAATAGAAGGTAACTTCTTTAACTTGGTAAAGGACATCTATGAAAAACCCATGGCTAACATCATACTTAATGATAAGACTGGATGGGGTGAGTGGTAGCAGCCAGACCGCCCAGCTCTGGAAGGCTCTCAGCATGGTGCGGCTCACAGGCACCCAGCACGCACCCTCCGCCGGGCTGCAAGATGCCCAAGAGGAAGATCAGCTCAGCAGAAGGGCAATGAAGGAAAGAGCCCAAGATGAGATTGGTATGACTATCAGCTAAACCTCCTCCTGCCAAAGTGGAAACAAAGTCAAAAAAGGCAGCAGCAAAGGATAAATCTCCAGACAAAAATGTGCAAACGAAAGAAAAGGGGGAACAAAGGGAAAACAGACCAAAGTGGCTAACCACGAAACTAGATTTGCCTACATAAAACTAAGAAACAGAAACCAAGGAGAGTCCAACCTATGATGAAGTCCGAGAGAAAAAACCCCAAGTCCAATTAATACAGAGTATGTCTTACCAATAGTCCATCTCCCTTCTTGTACATTCCAGAGGACTGTTTTTATAAACTATTTCATAAATGCAGTTTTTTAGTAACTCTAGATAAACATTTTTAAGAAGGGAGGCCGGGTGTGGTGGCTCACACCTGTAATTCAAGCACTTTCGAGGCCAAAGTGGGTGGATCACCTGAGGCTGCTGGCTACCACCAGAAGGCAGGAGAAAGGCATGCGATGGTTCTTCATTAGAGCCTCCAGAAGGAACCAACATTGGTGATTCCTTGATTTTGGACTTCTAGATTTTAAAGTTGTGAGAGAATAAATTTGTTTTGTTTTGTTTTGTTTTTCTCATCTCCATACGTGTCTGGAGAATTTTCTGTCATATTAAGCTACCAAGTTTGTGGTGCAAAGAGTACCTGACTTAAAATTTTTTCATTTTAGGCCAGGCATAGTGGCCAACACCTGTAATCCCAGCACTTTAGGAGGCCAAGATGGGCCAATAACCTGAGGTCTGACCAACATGGTGAAACCCCATCCCTACTAAAACAAAAATTAGGTGGGTGTGCTGGCAGACACCTGTAATCTCAGTTACTCTGGAAGCTGAGGCAGCAGAATTGCTTGAAACTGGGAGTCAGAGGTTGCAGTGAGCCTCCAAGATTAGGCCACTGCACTTCAGCCAAGGCGAGAGTAAGCATTCTGTTTTTAAAAGAAAAAGTTATTTTATGATGGATTTATCAGGTTATAATCTACTCATAAGTTGAGGAGCATCTGTACTTTGTTACAATGGTCCTAGGAAACGAATACAGAAAGAAGTAAAACTCTTTATTTGCAGATGACATGATTTTACATACAGAAAATCCTAAGGAATCCACCAAAAAAGTTGCAGGATACAAAGCTAATATACAAAAATCAGTTTTATTTCTACACACTTGCAATGAACAATCCAAAAATGCAATTAAGAAAACAATCCCATTCACAATAGCAACAAAAATAACAACATACTTGGCAATAAATTTAACAAAGAAGTGCAAACTTTATATGCTAAAAACTACAAAACATTGTTGAAAGTAAAAGATCTAAATCAGCCAGGCATGGTGGCTCACACATGTAATCCCAGCACTTGGAAAGGCCAAAGTGGGCAAATCACTTGAGGCCAGGGGTTTGAAACCAGCCTGGCCACTATAGTGAAACCCATCTCTACTAAAAATACACACACACACACACACACACACACACAAAGTTGGGTGTGGTGGCACATGCCTGTAATCCCAGCTACTCAGGAGGCTGAGGTAAAAGAACTGCTTGAACCCAGGAGTCGAAGATTGCAGTGAGCCAAGATAGCACCACTGCCCTCCAGCCTGGGCAATAGAGCAAGACTCAGTCTCAAAAAAAAAAAAAAGAGTAAAGAAGATCTAAATAAATGGGAAAATATCTCATGTGCCTGGATCAACAATCTCAGCACTGTTAAGGTGTCATTACCCCCTAAACTGATCTTTAGATACAATGCAATCTCAGTAAGATTCCCAGCTGACTGCTTTGCAGAAACTGACAAGTTCATTTTAAAATTCATCTGAGGCCAGGGATGGTGGCTCATTATCTGTAATTTCAGCACTTAGGAAGGCTGAGATGGGAGGATCACTTGAGGCCAGGAGTTTGAAACTGGCCTGGGCAACACTGAAGGGCCGTGTCTGTACCAAAAAAAAATGTAATATAATAAAAAGAAAATTCATATGGAATTGAAAGGGACCCACAGTAGCCAAAACCATTCTGAAAAATAAAGTAAAACTCATACTTCCCAATTCAAAAACTTACTACCAAGTAACAGTAATCAATACAGCATTACCAGCGTAAACACAGACATATAGATCAATGCAACAGAACTGAGAATTCAGAAATAAACCCATACATCTATGGTCAGCTGATTTTTGATAAGGATGCCAAGACTATTCAATGGGAAAATAATAGTCTTTTCAAATAAATGGTGATCAGACAAATGGTTAGCCACATGCAAAAAGAATGAAGTTGGATAATGAGGTTATCAATGTACAAAAATTAACTCAAAATGGACCAAAGATCTAAATGTAGACGCACAAACCATCTTTTAGAAGAAAAATGGGTAAATCTTCATGACCTTGGGTTTGACAAAGGACTTAGATCTAACAACAGAATCATGAACAACAAAAGAAAAAATAGATAAATTGATATTCACCAAAATTCCAAACTTTTTGCTTCAAAGGAAATCACCAAGAAACTGAAGACAACCCACAGAAAGGGAAGAAATGTTTGTGAATCATATACCCGATAAGGGACTTTTATGTAGATATATAAAGACTCCTTACAACTCAATAATAAAAAGACAAATAGCACAATTAAAAAAAAAAAACAGACAAAAGATCTGAATAGACATTTCTCAAAGATAATATACAAATGGCCAATAGAAACATAAAATGTGCCTGACATCATTAGTCACCAAGGAAATACACATCAAAACCACAATGAGACATCACTTCATACTCACTAGGACAGCTACATCCAAAAAGTCAAGCCAGGCACAGTGGCTCATGCCTATAAACCCAACACTTTGGAAGGCTGATGGAAGAGGATCGCTTGAGGACAGGAGTACAAGACTAGCCTGAGAAACATAGCAAGACCCCATCTCTACAAAAAAAAAGCTGGACATGGTGGCACACACCTATAGTCCCAGTTACTTGGAATGCTGAGTGGATGGGATCATTTAGGCCCAGGAGGTCAAGGCTTCAGTATGCTACAATTGTGTTACTACACTCTCGTTTGGGTGACAATGCAAGGCTGTCTGAAAAAAAATATATCAAAAAATCCAAAAAGTCAAATAATAAGTGCTGGCAAGAACATTGAAGAAGAGGAACCCTGATAAACTGCTGGTGGGAAGATAAAATGGTATAGCTCCTTTGTGAAACAGTTTGGCAGTTCGTCAAATGATGAAACATAGTTACCATATGACCCAGCAATTACATTTCTAGAAATGTAGTCAAAAGAATCTGGGTGCGGTGGCCCAAGCCTGTAATCCCAGCACTTTGGGAGGCCAAGGCAGGCGGATCACAAGGTCAGGAGCTCGAGATTTGCCTGGCCAACATGGTGAAACCCCATCTCTACTAAAAATACAATGGGTGTGGTAGCACATGCCTGTAATCCTAGCTACTCAGGAGGCTGAGGCAGAGGAATCATTTGAACCAGGGAAGTGGAGATTGCAGTGAGCCATGATTGCACCATGGTACTCCAGCCTGGGAAGAACTCCATCTCAAAAAAAAAAAAAGAAATGTACCCAAGAGAAATAAAAACATATATATATCCACACAAACACTTCTACATGAATGTTTACAGCAGTATTATATATACCAGACAAAAATTGAAAATAATCCAAATATTCATGAATGAATGAATGGATAAACCAAATTAGCATATCCATATGAAACATTATTTGGCTACAAAAAGTAATGAAGTACCACTACATGCTACAACATAGATGAAGAGTAAAAATGTTACAATAAGCGAAAGAAGTCAGACACAAACAATCAGATTTTATAATTTCATGTCTAAGAAATGTCCAGAACAGGCTAATCGATAAAGGCAAAAGGCAAATTATTGCTTCCCTAGGCCAGGGAGGTTTGAGAAAAAATGAGTAGTGACTGCTAATGAGGTTTCTTTTTGAGGTGACAAAAACATCCTCAAAGTGACTATGATAATGTTTACACAACACTAGAAATCACTGAATTGTGCACTTTAAAAGATGGGTAAATCATATGGTGTGTAAATTATATGTCAATAAAGCTGTTTTTTTAAAAGTCACAATTTCAAGACTCTACTTGCAAAGGCAAATAAATACCAATAATGGAAGAGTACCAAATAAAATGCAACAAAATGTATTTTAACTAGCTTACATTTAGTATAAATTCAATGCAATTGAATTTTAATGTAAAAGTCTATGAGAATATTAAGAGCTCTGCCCACAAATAAACAAAATCAATGCTTTCACTAGTTTTTTAACTATTCAGACTAACAGCTCCTTATATAAGAGAAATTAGCTAAGAATTGTTTGTAAGCCTAAAGCTATCAAAATAAACTTCCATTCTTTTCCAAGTAAACAAAGAATAAAAGGCCAAAACATATTTAAATGGATGCTTACAAATGATGGTGCATTCAAATTCTCTTCTTGTTTCATTTCTTCAGTAGTCACATCTGTGTTTGGGAGCTGATGTTCAACAACAGCTATGGATCCTACATCTCGGACATTCACGGTTATTTCAAGCTGTCAAAATAAATTTTATCATTTCATTTTGGTATATTATGGAGAGCAAAAGAAAACCTCATCTTCCACATGAATAAGATGAAATGCTAAAATGAAGAAATAATCCATATTCATACATAACTTAAAAAATGAAAAGGAGTAATTATTATATTGACTGACAGCAACGTGGCAAAAGTAAAACATTTAAAATTTTTGAGGGGGCTGTGACTATTACCACCAGTAAGCAAACTTTCCAGGACTCATCTTCTTACTGCCTGGCATTTCATTTTTCGTTTTCTTCACTTTGGCCTTACCTTCCCCTAATTTCTCTGATCAGTCTGTTAACATGGAGCACTTCCTAAAAACCAGAGGGCTAGGGGTACAGGGATATAAAGTCAAAGAAGACAAGTTTGGTCCCTATCCTCAATGAACTCACACTCCAACAGAAAAGTAGACATGTAATCAACTAACAATACACTATTATAAATGCTATCTATAATGAAGCCCTTACAAATATTTATCATACCACCGTCCCCACCCCAACTCCGCTTTCCCACAACCCCAAAGCCTGCATGATTTTTGATAGCCAGGGCATCAGCCATGTAAAATAAGTTCACTCACATTTATTCTTCATTTTTCAGTCCTATTAAAGAGCCCTATAATCTGAACACTAAAAATATATTTACCTACTAGAATATATATAATACACTCTGGTTCTTATTATCTTATTTTTTTGTTTGTTTTTCTTTTGTTATTTTTAGGCAGGGTCTCACTCCTGTTGCCCCAGTTGCAGTGGCGCGATGACAGCCACTATGCCCGGGTCTACTGTCTTATTAACAGAAAGAAGAGTATAAAAGGTTATATGGGTGAGTAGAAACTGTGAGTACAGAGTCAAGTCTGAGAATCTGCGTTCAAGACATATATATATATATATATATATATATATATATGTGCTTTTTTTTTTTTTTGAGACATGGTCTCAATCTATCACCCAAGCCAGGGTACAGTGGCACCATCAGGGCCCACTACAGCCTCGACCTCTTAGGGTCAAGCAATCCTCCTGCCTCAGCACCCCCAAGTAGCTGGGACTACAGGCATGTGTCACCACACCTGACTAATTTTTATATTTTTTGTAAAGACCAGGTTTCACCCTGGCTGGTCTTGAACTCCTGCACTCAGCGATCTGCCCATCTTGGCTTCCCAAAGTGCTGGGACTATGGGCATGAGCAACTGTGCCCAGTCAACATATTTGCTATAATTACATTCATATGTGCCACATCTGATTCCTTAGATACAAAATTTGGAGAAAAATCTTGGATAATTTCTAGTAGGACTGGGATGAACTAAAAAATTCAAGCGAGTGCAAGGAACTGTAGTTCAAGTTACTCAGGAGACTGAGGTGGGGAGAGTCACTTGAAACCAGGAGTTTGAGGCCAGCCTGGTATAGCAAGATCTTGTCTCTTTAAAAAATAAATTTATCTAGCCAGAGCAATCAGGCAAGAAAAAGAAATAAAGGGTATTCAAATAGGAAAGGTGGAAGCCAAATTGTCTCAATTTGCAGACAACATGATAGTATACCTAGAAGACCCCATCGCCTCAGCCCAACAACTCCTGAAACTGATAAGCAACTTCAGCAAACCCTCAGGATATAAAATCAATGTGCAAAAATCACAAGCATTCCTACACACCAATAACAGACTTAAAGAGAGCCAAATCAAGAATGAACTGCCATTCACAATTGCTACAAAAAGAATTAATACCTAGGAATACAACTCACAAGGAACATAAGGGACCTCTTCAAGGAAAACAACAAACCACTGCTCAATGAAATAAGAGAGGACACAAACAGATGGAGAAACATTCCATGTTCATGGTTAGGAAGAATTAATATCGTGAAAATGACTATACTGCCCAAAATAATTTACAGAATCAACGCTATCCCCATCAAGCTACCATTGACTTTCTTCACAGAACTGGAAAAAACCACCTTGAACTTCATATGGAACCAAAAGAGAGCCCACATGGCCAAGTCAATTCTAAGCAAAAAGAACACAGCGGGAGGCATCGCACTACCAGTCTTCAAACTATACTACAAGGCTACAGTAATCAAAACAGCATGGTACTGGTACCAAAACAGAGATATAGACCAATGGAACAGAACAGAGGCATCGGAGGCAACACAACATATCTACAACCATACAATCTTTGATAAACCTGACAAAAACAAGCAATGGGGAAAGGATTCCCTGTTTAATAAATGGTGTTGGGAAAACTGGCTAGCCATGTGCAGAAAGCAGAAACTGGACCCCTTCTTGACACCTTACACTAAAGTTAACTCCAGATGGATTAAAGACTTAAACATAAGACCTGGCACCATAAAAACCCCAGAAGAAAATCTAGGCAAAACCGTTCAGGACATAGGAGTAGGCAAGGACTTCATGAACAAAACACCAAAAGCATTGGCAACAAAAGCCAAAATAGACAAATGGGACCTAATCAAACTCCACAGCTTCTGCACGGCAAAAGAAACAGTCACTAGAGTGAATCAGCAACCAACAGAATGGGAAAAAATGTTTGCAGTCTACCCACCTGACAAAGGGCTGATATCCAGAATTTACAAAAAACTCAAACAGATTTACAGGAAAAAAACAAACAAGCCCATTCAAAAATGGGCAAAGGATATGAACAGACACTTTACAAAAGAAGACATATATGAGGCCAACAAACATAGGAAAAAATGGTCATCATCACTGGTCATCAGAGAGATGCAAATCAAAACCACATTGAGATACCATCTCACGCCAGTTAGAACGGCGATCATTAAAAAATCTGGAGACAACAGATGCTGGAGAGGATGTGGAGAAATAGGAACACTTTTACACTGCTGGTGGGAGTATAAATTAGTTCAACCATTGTGGAAGACAGTGTGGCGATTCCTCAAGGCCTTAGAAATAGAAATTCCATTTGACCCAGCAATCCCATTACTGGGTATATATCCAAAGGACTAGAAATCGTTCTACTATAAGGACACATGCACACAAATGTTGATTGCAGCACTGTTTACAATAGCAAAGACCTGGAACCAACCCAAATGCCCATCGATGATAGACTGGATTGGGAAAATGTGGCACATATACACCATGGTATATTATGCAGCAATCAAAAATGATGAGTTTGTGTCATTTGTAGGGACATGGATGAATCTGGAGAACATCATTCTCAGCAAACTGACACAAGAACAGAAAATGAAATGCCGCATATTCTCACTCACAGGGAGGTGATGAAAAATGAGAACACATGGACACAGGGAGGGGAATACTAAACACTGAGGTCTATTGGGGGGAATTGGGGAGGGAAAGCGGTGGGGGGGAGCTGGGGAGGGATAGCCTGGGGAGAAATGCCAAATGTGGGTGAAGGGGAGGAAGGCAGCAAAACACACTGCCATGTGGGTACCTATGCAACTGTCTTGCATGTTCTGCACATGTACCCCAAAACCTAAAATGCAATTAAAAAAAAAATGAATTTGGGGACGGATCCAAGATGGCTGATCACTAACATCCCGGGATTGCAGCTCTCAGGGAAGGCACGGAGAACTAGAGGATGCCACACTTTCAGACAAATTCTGGTCGCTCACGGAGCAGAAGATCCCCCAGTGGAGGAAACACATGGGTGGCCAGCGCGACTCTCGTGGCCGGCGCAGCAGTTCTGCGGGCACCTCAGCGCGGCAGCTCTCGGAGCAGAGTAAACAGGTTTGGAGGACCCACAAGGGCCCCCAGCACGACATCAGAGCCTGGCGCAGTGGCTGTGACGGCACCTCGGCGCGGCAGCGCTCAGCGCAGAGTAAACGGGACTGGTTCCCCTTCTGACCGAGGTTTGGAGCCCCGGGAAGGCAGAGTCGCCTACTGCAGACACAAGAAGGAAGCCATACAGGAGAATCCTGGGCAGAAAAGTACCATCAGTTTTAACGCTGCTGCTCTGGCCCTGGGAACTAACAACCTGGACATCCACTCAAGAGACCTAATCTGAAAGTTGGTAATTTCAAAGACGGCAGGAGGATAAATTTACAATGACGGGAAGAAACCTGCTAAAAAAGCTGAGAATATTCAAAGTCAGAATGCCTCTCCCTCTAAAGATGATCACAGTTCCACATCAACAATGGAACAAGGCTTGATGGAGAATGAGCGCATCCTGATGACAGAATCACTCTTCAAGGAATGGATAATAAGAAACTTCGGTGAGTTAAAAGAACATGTTGCAGCCCAATGTAAAGAAACTAGGAACTTTGAAGAAAGGTTTGATGAAATCCTATTGAGAATAGACAACTTAGAGAGGAGTATGAGTGAATTAATGGAACTGAAGAATACAATACAGGAACTCCGAGAAGTATGCACAGGTTTAAACACTCGAATTGTTCAAGCAGAAGAAAGGATATCAGAGGTCGAAATCCAACTTAATGAAATAAAACGTGAAGAAAAGATTAGAGAAAAAAGGATAAAAAGGAATGAGCAAAGTCTCCAAGAAATGTGGGACTATGTGAAAAGACCAAATTTACGTTTGAAAGGTGTACCTGAATGCTACAGAGAGAATGAATCCCAGCTGGAAAATACCCTTCAGGATATTATTCAGGAAAATTTTCCTAAACTAGCAAAGCAGGTCAACATTCAACCCCAGGTAATACAGAGAACACCACAAAGATATTCCTCAAGAAGAGCAATCCCAAGGCACATAATCGTTAGATTCACCAGGGTTGAAACGAAGGAGAAAATACTAAGGGCAGCCAGAGAGAAAGGTCAGGTTACCCACAAAGGGAAGCCTATCAGACTTACAGCAGATCTCTCAGCAGAAACTCTACAAGCCAGAAGAGAGTGGGGGCCAATATCAACATCCTCAAAGAACAGAACCTTCAGTCCAGAATTTCACATCCAGCCAAAATAAGCTTCACAACTGAAGGAAAAGTAAAATCTTTTATGAACAAGCAAGAACTCAGAGATTTTATTACCACCAGGCCTTCTTTACAAGAG